TTTCCGGATCTTGGGTGTGGGGACGAGGTTGGGGCTTCCAAACCCCTGGAAGACGACGGCTGGGGACCGGGTGTGGGTGTTCGGGGACCATTCGGCCCCGGGACGAGTGCGGATGTGAGGGCCGCAGAGCACAGGCTGTAGCTGGGGAACACAGGGTTTGGGATAGGGACTGTCCGCAGTGCAGTCTTGAAAACCGCAGGAAAATCTGATACATTGGTACAAGGTCCCAGAAGTGGAGCGGACCGACTCAGGAACCAGGAAAGCCAACAGAAAGAGGGCTGCTCGTGCCATCACAAACAGCCACTAGCCTTTAGTGCCTGCCTCTTGTTGTCTGAAGGCATCAGAATGAAGGTTGAGTTTTGGCTTTTGAGCTTGCTCTGTTCCAGAGAGCTGGCTTTCCTTTCCACTAGACGGTTATTCTGGGATAGGTTGGGGATGAAGGGTTTAGCAACAGTGGCTAAACACCCACAAGAGCCCCACTTAGCACTGTCTCAGAGGTAAGCGTGTCCGTGAAAGAATTGGATTCATTTGCGGGTGATTGATAACGTTACTCTTCGCAGGTTGCCGTAATCAGGTAGTGTAAAGTGTATGGGTTTTGCGTTAGGAAAGATCTAGGTTCAGTCCTGTTGTGATATGATTATTAGCATTGGCTGTGGCAGGTGTGATGTTGCACATAACCCCAGAACTTAGGAAGAAGTAGGAGGAGGCTCAGGAGTTTGAGGCCAGCCTGGGCTGCATAGCAAGACCCTGTCTCAGCCAAGGGCTAAGAATATTGGCTGTGGGTCTGGATCTTTGTTCCCCTCATATTAACTGCATGGTCACTCTCACTCCCTTCCACAAGGACCAAGTTGTAAACTTTTTGTATTGATGCTGCAACACTTGGATACTGCTTTTTCGTGGGTTCTGACAGTTCCCAAGGATGGACAGAATGTTATGATTCAGTTACACCACTAGCTTGGTTATTTTCTTTTAAGTTGTCTTTCCAGTTCTTCCCTCTGTCAGAGGCTAGGAAAGCCAAAGGCCCTTTCTGATCCTGTGGACGGAAGGAAGAACACTGAGCTTTTGTTCACTACCAGGGCCGTTCTTGGCAAGGCCAGCAATGGACAGGTGCCAGGGCTCTGATGGGCTGAGGCCAGGGCCCAGAGATTGCCGGTTTCATGTAAAGCTGTGGTCAAATATCACAGACTTTGAGATATGAAATACTTTGCTGCTGTACCAGAATGTACCTTGCAAAAGAGGAATTAGAGTTCCCTGTAATTCTCTGAATGAACTCTGATTTGTTTTCTGCCTCCCCATCTGATGAACTTGCTGGCTTGAGTTATCAGCCCTCACAGCCTTCCTGACCCCAGCTTTGGACTGTTTATTTTTCTCATTTCTGGTCCCCACTCCCACCCCCTCAGAATCCCCAGTGTGAACCCAGGAGAACAGCTGGTCTGGTTTCACCCTCTGACATTTGACTGCAATCAAGTCCTTTCAAAAGCCCATCTGATCTCGCTTTGACTTTTAACTCAGTAGCTACCTGTCCATTTTTCTTGCTTCCCCTCGGGAGCCTCACCACTTGTCCAAGAGTGTTATGTATACTGTATGGCAGTATTTGGTCCCTCCCATCACACGTGCCCTTTGGTAGTGCCAGGAAAAATTTCCACACACCGGCATCGAATCACTGTTCTTACTGTGTGTATTGGATCCACATCAGTTACCCAGTGCTTTCCTTTCATCTGCTGCTACCTCTGCCCAGAACAGAGCTCTCAACTCTCAACATCAGCAGGATGCTAAGCTACCTCTTCCTCATGAAGGCACTTCTTGCTCTCAGCTCCCTGACATCCTGGGTAACTGCAGGAGAGCACGGTGAGCTATCATTTGGAGTCCCTGGGTAAAAGTAATAGAAAGTTACTAGGGGAAATGTCACCTTCCACCTTCTAAGGTTTCTCATTTTCGGAACCAGTCATCTCCGTAGGAAGAACTGGATGGAAAAATTATTGGGACAGTAAGGACAAGTTGGCTTGGCTTTTGTTGCCCTCTCTGTAACAAGGAGTTAGGACTTAAAAGGATACCTATTGCAGCTATCTCCTAGAGCTCATTAAATGAGGACAGGACCATGCACCAGCCCCCTTTCTCTGTCTGTCTCTGTCTATCTCTGTCTCTGCAGCATGACTGATTTACTTATCTTTTAGTAGTTTGGAGGTGTGTGTTGGTATCTGTGTGGCGAGAAGAGAAGGGGGTAACAGAGATAATCTGCATAGAAATGCATGGAGATGCTGAGCTCCTCAAGATTCATTTGACTTTCATTCCCTAATTACTTTTTTTTTTTAAGATTTGTGTACGTGTCTCTCTGTGTGTATGGCATGTATGGGTGCCTGCAGGGACCAGAAGAGGGAGTAGGATACCCTTGAACTGGAGGTACATATGGTTGTGAGCCGCCAGAGATGGGTGCTTGGCACTGAATTTGTGTCCTCTGGAAAAGCATCAAGTTTCTTAACAGCTGAGCCTTCTCTTCAGCCTCCACTAGTAGAGGCTGAGCCCGCCCCCATTTCTTTAGGCCTAATCAGTTATCCTCAATTTCATATGAAACCTTTTTCAATGGGAGGGACAGTGCCTTCCTGACCAGCATGCACGCAAAGATGTGTGCCCGAGCACTAGGTCACGTCTTGCTGGGCAGAAGTGTTAGCACAGGCTTTGTCAGGCCGCCAAGCAGACCTCATAGGAGCATGTTTGTTGTCTCTAGGTGCAAGAGCCCAGTGTGTTCCCTGTCTTAACTTTTGGATGAATAGAACAAGGAAGCTTCCCACCTCCTGGATTGTCTCTGGACACCTAGTGTAGGTTACCTTTTCCCCCTCTGCGGTCTCTAACCGTTCCATACTCAAGCTCTTTGCCTCCTATCAGGAAAGAAAGCGCCACTGATGATCCGTGTCTTTTACTTTGGACTAGAGTAGGGTCGTGAGGGAAAGCCCACTTAAGATGGTGGTTACGACATCCTGGGAAGGTGGGCAGGTGAGATGGCTCAGCAGATGAAGGGCTTCCCTGCCTGATTCGAAAGCCTGAAGACCTTGTTCCATCCCCAGAATCTATGCAAAGGTGAAGAGAACGGATTCCACAAAGCGGTTCGTCCTCTGAGCTCCACATGTATGCCACGATGCACGTGCCTCCCCTGAAACAATACTGACTTTAGAAAGGGCACTAAGGACTTAAGGGATGCAGCCCAGGGTCTCCCTAGGTAGCTCATTCTGACTTCATACTCAGGGTCCTCCCGCTTTTTCCCCGAGTGCTGGGATTACAAGTGTGTGCACCATGCCCGGTCTTTTAAAAATTCTTCTTTTTAATTTGAAAAAATTTATTTTTCAATTTACATACCAATCCCAGTTTTCCCTCTATCCCCTTCTCCCCATCTCAATTACAAGTGTGTGTACCATGCCTGGTCTTTTAAAAATTCTTTTTATTTTAAAAAGCTTATTTTTCATTTTATATACCAACCCCAGTTCCTTCTCCATTCCCTTTTCCTGCCCCTCACCTCCTCCTTTCCCACCCCCATCCACTCCTCAGTGGAGGTAAGGCCTTCCTTGGGGAGTCAACAAATTCTGGCATACCAAGTTGAGGCAGGACCAAGCCCCCCCCCCCCCATCAAGGCAGAGCAAGGCACCCCACCATAGGAAATTGGCTCCACAAAGCCAGTTTATGCCCCTGGGATAGGTCCTGGTCCCACTGCCATGCACCCTCTCCCCCAACAGATCCAGCCAGACTGTCAGAGGGATTATTTCAGAGGGATTATTTTTCAGAGGGATTATTTCAGTCCCATGCAGGTCAGCTGTTTCTGTGGTTTTTCCTTTTTTGGGGAGGGAGCATGTTTCGAGACAGGGTTTCTCTGTGGCTTTGGAGGCTGTCCTGGAACTCACTCTGTAGACCAGGCTGGTCTCCAACTCACAGAGATCCACCTGCCTTTGCCTCCGGAGTGCTGGGCTAAAGGCGTGTGTGCGCCACCACCGCCTGGCTCTGTGGTTTTTCCCATCATGCTCTTGACCCCCACCCCACCTTGTTCATATGACCCTCCCTCTCTTCAACTGAACTCCAGGAGCTCAGTCCAGTGCTTGGCTGGAATAGCAAGGACTTGTAAACGTTCTTCTTGTCTCTGTAAATAGCTCTGATGCCTTCTCTGAAACTGGCTTTAAGTTATGGGGTTATTCACCACCACTGTCCCTCTTGTCCCCTTCACATCCCAAGGCCTGATCATGGCCTCCGTAGTCCTAGATGTTCCTTCCCGATGGGGCTCATTTTGAAGGGTAACTGGTCTCAACGTCTTTCCTCTGAACCTGCCTCTTTTAAAAAAATTAAAAACTTTATTATTTTTTTATTCAGTGTATGTATACCAGCCAGAGCATGCATGTGTAAGTCAGACAGCAACTTGTGGTAGTTGGTTCTTTCCTTCCATTGCATGGGACTTGAGGGTCAAATTCAGATCTTTAAGCTTTTGGAAAGTGCCTTTACCTACTGAGCCATCTCACCAGCCTGTTTTTAAAAATTATTATTATATTACCATGATTATTGGTTTTTTGAGATAGGGTTTCTCTCTGTTACAGCTCTGGTTGTCCTGGAACTCGCTTCGAGTGTTGTTATTTTTTTAATGTGGGTGCTGGGGAGCCAAACTCAGGTCCTCAAACTCAGTTCTTCATGATTGTTCAGAAAGCACTGTGCTGACTGAATTATCTCCCCCAACTCATGCCTTTTAAAAACATATTATTTTAATCTGTATGTGTGTGCGCTTGTTCAAGTTTATATTCGCCACAGGTGGGTGAGTATCCTCATAAACCAGAAGAGGGCATCAGATCCCTTGTAACTGTAGATACAGATGATAGGGGACTGAGCACTGGTCCTCTGTGGAAAGTAAGTGCTCTTACCTATGAGTCATCTCTCCAGCTCCCGTGGGTCTGTTTTTAAAAGAGAAAAAGAGGCAGTCCTAAAATGATTCAGAGGCCATTCTGTTGTAACGTGTGTGCCACACATAAGGCATGCACAGTGTAAAGAGATGCTTTACATTGGGCTGCAACAAGAGATGTGTAGTCCCACTCTTCAAACAGAAGCGTAGTAAGAAAGCTCTTCTTCATGCCCCATGGGCAGATTAACTTGCTCATTTGTCAAACTATCTGGTGCCAAGGTACCAAATCATTCTTTGATAATTGGTTTTAGTTTACTTTGAGAAAAGTACAAGTGCCAGCTGTATTCTGAGAACCGAACAAAGATACACAGAGTACCCAGGTCACGAGTGCTTGTTGAATAAGTCCTAGCCAAGCATGGCGGGATGCCAAGAGATAACGCTGCGTCAGGAAGTTGCTGATTAATCCCCAATCCCACTATCAGCTGAGAGATTCTTTACTAAACGCTACCCCAAGAATTTCAAAAGAGACAGCAGAATAGGATCTTGATGTCTGCAGAAGACAGCACTCACTCCCCTATTCATCTGCTTCCCAGTCACGCTGCTCTCCCTGCACACATGCGGGCTGGTGTCTTGTTAATAGTTAAGGCAGATTTCCCTTTATTCCTCACTGTTAGGGAGGCTTTGGAAAGTGATCCCATCTCCCTCTTACAGGTTCATCACTACCTAATTCTCTATGCACACATTATCTTTTCTCCACAAACTTCTATTGGATGCTACCGTTTGCTCCGTCCCGTGCTGAGTTCTGGGTACACTGTGCTGGACAAAGCATGCAAGTAAATACAAGTTCGTGAACTGCGATAAGGACAACAAAGACATTAAAGGATGCCTCGAGAGAATGATGGGCACTCATGTTGGGTTGGGTGGTTAAGGAAAGTTTGTCTAGGGTGGTGGCATTTAAGCTGCAACTGGGAGAAGGAGTTAAAACTAGCCAGAGGAAGGATGTGGTTGGATATTGAAGAGAGAAGCCAGGTGGAGGTCTTCAGAGGACAAGACGGTGCATGGTTAGGTACAGCGATGGGAGGACAGAGCCTTGTCACTAGGCAGTTGGCAGTGGGAGTGGAGAAAGGTGACACAGATTTCTCCTCTGGGCCATACTTCCTTTACCATTCCTTTAAGATGGTGCTGTCACCTGGAAGTGCTTTTGCAAGCCTTTAATCCCAGCACTCAGGAGACAGAAGCAGGCAGATGTCTTTGAGTTCTCAGCCACCCTGGTCTACAGAGTGAGTTCCAAGACAGCCAGGCCCACACAGAGAAACCCTGTCTTGAAAAATAAAAACTAGCTGGGTGGTGGTGGTGGTGGTGGTCGTGGTGGTGGTCGTGGTGGTGGTGGTGCACGCCTTTTATCCCAGCACTGGGGAGGCAGAGGCAGGCAGATCTCTGTGAGTTTGAGACCAGTCTGGTCTACAAGAGCGAGTTCCAGGACATCCTCCAAAGCCACAGAGGAACCCTGCCTTGAAAAACAAACAAAAAACAAATGAAAACAGAAAAAACAGAAGCCTGGGCTACAGAGCGAGTTCCAGGACAACCTCCAAAGCAATACAGAGAAACCCTGTCTCGAAAAAACAAACAAAAAGCAAAAAACCAAAACAACTCCGACCAAAACCCAACCCAACCCAAACCAAACCAAACCAATCCCTCCCAAAAAACCCAAGAAGAAGATGACGATGAAGGAGAAAAGGAGGAGGAGAAAAAAAGGAAGAGGAGGAGGAGAAGGAGGAGGAGGAGGAAGAGAAGTTGAAGTTGTTGTTGTTGGTATCCTCTCTGTGTAACTTCTGATTTTCCTGCTATTTTAGATTATTCATGGCTAGTTTTGCTTGTTTATACTTCTCAGTATTCTTTATGATCACATTTCTTGTCTCTTCATTCTCTAAACTCTTTTTTTTTGGAGTGATTGTTAGATGTGTACTCTGGCATTTGGAGAGCTAATCCAGATATAATATGAACCTTATGTCTGCCTGTTGCTCAGACTTTAGGGTGTTTTACAGACTTAAAATATGTCTTGATACATTTATTCTTGGGTGGTTTATTTTCTTCCCTGATTTCTTAAATGAGGTCATTTATTTCTTTTTTTCTGAGACAACGTCTCAGGTAGCCCAGGCTGGCCTGAACTCCTGGTCTTCCTGCCTCTACCTCCAAATCCTGGGATTACAGGCATGTCCACCAAACCTGGCTCCTTTACCCCTTTATGTCCTTTCCTCTTTTGGAGGCAGAGTCTGTTTTGCCCAGGCTGGCCTGGAGCTTGACTGCCTTGCCTCTGTCTCCTGAATGACAGACCGGGAGCCAGTCTCTCACCCAAGAACACAGTGTGTAGATTTGGGTTGTCTGAGACAAGTGGATCCCCAGGCCATCCTCTGTGCTTCTCTTTCCATTTCTCTGTAAGGTGGGAAGAGCCTGGAGGGCTGTTACAGTGAGTTAAATGATGTGTTAGTCCTTCAGTTGACATTCTCTTCTTTTGGCTCCTAGGAGGACCAGATCTTTCCTCCTCTTCCTCCTCTTCAGCCTTTCCTTCCATCCTGACCTTTCCTCCTCCTCTTTGATAGTCTGTCTATGTGGCATATGGTGGCTTTGAATTTTTAGATCTCCTGCCTCAGCTTCCCAAATGCTGCAATTATAGGCACATGTGACACTACAGCTGGCTCAGGAGTACAAATAGTCCCCCCTCCCCACCCTGCTGTCACCCCCTCTGTGAGATGCTGAAATTCCACCGCACAAGTCATCTTCCCTTTCAACCATGTCTCCCTGGTAACAAGCTCCTTCCCAGTACCTAGTGGGGTGATCTGTACCTGGTTAGACAGATACCTTGGACAGACTGTTCATAAGAGAACACTGGAGTCATTGTCAGGACTCTCACTTCCCAGCTCCAGACCAAACCTGGGAATCTGTTGTGGGCAAGTCACTCACTGTTGGCTTGTAAGGCCTCATACAATCTTGTCAGTGTTTGAAACTGAAGTCTGAATTGTGAGGCCTTTGTGAGCTACCCTGGCCTTTGGCCATCAGAGGTGGAACTTTCTTGTCCCTTTGGATTAGGCAGGCCAGCTGGAAGTAGTCTACAGATGCCTCAGAGCCCACAGGCTGAGCAGGACCTGGTGGAGTTGGTGGGTCAGCAGCAGTTGGTGGAGTTAGTGTTTAGCTACTTCAGCATCTATAGCTCCTGTTGTAGAGAAGGATTGCTCTCTCTCTCTCTCTCTCTCTCTCTCTCTCTCTCTTTGGGTTTTTGAGACAGGGTTTCTCTGTGTAGCTTTGGAGCCTATCCTGGCTCTTGCTCTGTAGAGCAGGCTGGCCTCAAACTCACAGAGATCCACCTGCCTCTGCCTCCCGGGTGCTGGGATTAAAGGTGTGCGCCACCAATGCCCCGCAAGAAGGGTTGCTCTTAATGAGACTGATTCCCAGGAAGCTCCCTTCCTGAGCTGTGAAAAACTTAACCTTTGACATTATCACAGGTATACTGTAGCAGAGCCGGTCTGTTTGACAAAGGTGGAGTGCCAGGCAGCTTGCCTGAGGCACAGGTAGACGCTGGAATGTGCTCTCAGGGATAAGCTCTGGTCTGAATGTGGCCTGTGGTGAAACTTCTGTTTGCTCAGTGGGCTTGGGCAAGTGTGTTAATCTCCTTGAATTTCCCCTTTGTCATCGTCATAGAGCGATGACGTAGTTTGGAAGAAATGCACTTGAAGAGTCTGCATTGCATCTGCCAAGTGATGCTCAGGGCCTCCGACAGTTAGTCCAGCAGCAGTGCCATCTGTTCCCTCTCCACTCATCTGCATTACTCCTCAGTCGTGACCCTCCCTCTTCAGTCACTCGATTACACCATGCATTGAGAGTCAGCCCTACCTGGCATGTGGGTATCTGTGTACCTTTGGTGGAGTGTTGTGAAGAGGGAGCTGCAGAAGCAGAGGCTATGACGGAGACTGGAAGAGCTTTGTTCCTAAGGACATGAAAGGAGGCCACTGTGACTGGAGAAAAAGAGGATTTCAGTTGAGGTTGGGGAGGTGGCAAGGCTCAGAGTTGGGGCAGCTTTGGGCATCTTTTCCAGATTTTATTCTAAGTGCAGAAGGAAGTAATTAGGGCCAGTGAGTTGGCTTATCGGGCAAAGGCCACACAAACCTGAGGATCCAAGTTCAACCTAGTGGGGGAAGGAGAGGACTGACTGTAGAAGTTCTCTGACCAGCACAGGCACACGGTGGCATTCATGTGCTAACAGCCACACATTTCATACACATACAATAACAGATACTAATTAAAATATTTGTAAAGAAGTACCTAAGCCCCCTATGCTGGAAATGCTCATAATCTCAGCACTGGGAAGGTAGAAGCAGGAGGATCAGGAGTTCAAGGCCATTTTCAACTACATGGTGAGTTTAAGGCAGTCTAGGCTGCACGAGACTTGTCTCAAAAAGCCTATATATATAAAAATATGGGAGACTAAATGAGGGAGAGGCCTATTCCAGTTTCCATTTTGAAAAGGCTGTTCTGGTGTGCGAAGAACAGATGAGGGAAAGTGTAGATGATGGAAGACCAGGCAAGCAGCCACTATGGCAGAGTGGGTGAGAGATGAGCATGGCTTAGGCCAAGGAGGTCACCATAATGCAGACATGGAAAAGCAGAGACGTGCCAGGTAAAGAAGCAAAAGGCTGTGGACACTGAGGGAGAGGGTGTATCAAGGATGCTGTGAAGTATCTGGCCCCAGGGACAGCGTGGCAGTGATGCTGTTTGATAGAAGGGGACCACCAGGGAGGTAAAACCCTGGAGCTGATGCAGGAGCCACACCTATTATTGACTACAGTTTCTCTGCTTTATGGTGATAGGTGGGGTGTTGGGAGAGGTACAGATGGAGTGTGGGGTGAGCATCCCAATTCTATTTACCAGTCCTGTTTCTTGTACTGATCCCTGGTAGCATAATTAGTTGTGAGTTTACTGAGCCCCATGCTTTGTAATGGCTGAGTTCACCTAGGTAAGCAGAACCTTGAAGACATTGAGGGCAGGGCATCCTGTCCAAAGGCGTTGCAGGGACCATGTTTTACCAGGTTCCTGGGGGGCAGGACAAGGGTGGGTGCTTAGAACTCAGGAACCTGGTTTCAGGAGAGTATGAGGGAGTACAAACACTGTCTAGCTTAAAAATGAGGATGGTAGGGCTGGAGAGATGGCTCAGTTAAGAGTACTGGCTGCTCTTCCAGAGAACACAAGTTCATTTCCAATCCCCACATGGTAGCTTATAACTGTCTACAACCCCAGAAGGGATCCAAAACCTCCTTTTGGCCTCTTTGGGTATCAGGCATGTATGTAGACATACATGCAGATAAACACCCATACACATAAAAATAAAGGATGTGAAAGTATGTTGGGGAAATGACACAGTGGCTAAGAGCACATACTATTCTTATACAGGACCCGAGTTCAATTCCCAGTAACCACATGGCAGCTCACACCTGTCTGTAACTCTAGTTCCAGGGCTTCTGACACCCTCACATACTGAGAGCATTTATCATGTATTCCAGAAGTAGCAATTAATATTCTAGGTGTCAACCCACCAGAATTAACTTCTGATGGAGGAAACTTGCCTTTCAAAGTCTGCAAGAAATACAGATTCCAGGATATCTGTTGCTTCTGCCTGTAATTTAAATGTGTTAATTGCATTCTTTCCCTAGCCTGAATATATGTATGTGTATCTCATAAATACATTCCCAATCTATTGGGCACACACATCTGTGGGAAGTCAGGAGGATGACTTTTCATTTGGCTGTATAATCTTGATATGTAGACTATATACTGGGTACCTTGTATTCTTGAAAAGGCCCCAGAAAAGGAAATTTTTCTTCCTGGGGGTCAGGGGAAACAAAGCCATCACCTGGCCCAGAGGCTGGAAATACCAGGCTCTGGATTTTTTACACTTCATAGTTCTTTACTCCATTAACCCTTTCCACCTCTTAAGTTGCCCAGATGTTTCACAAGTTGTATCCTTTCTGAGACATAAGTCACCTGTCTTGTCAGATCTTACCAGTTTTCTTGGCCCTGAGAAATGCATGCCTCTTATCCTTGCTATTGTCAGAGAATTGCTAATTGTGGGCATATAAACTGGAAACCTTGTGGGATTGAGAGAGAACTTTTGAAGAATAAAAAGACATGAGAACAATACATGTATGAGCTGATTCATTCACTCTCAGATCCCTTTAACCAGCCTGACGCTTGCTGTTTAGCGTCCTGCCTAAACCCTGGGGGACACCGAGACTGGCACTTGGAGGTCCCCAATACTCACATAGACATACATGCAGGCAAAACACCAATGAACATAAAATAAAAAATGAGGATGGCACAGTCTGACTTGGAGGTAGTGAAGCCCCATTAAGTCCATGTGTTTGAGCTGACAGGAATTATTTATTTGGCATGGGTTTGAGTTATGAAAGAGAATGGTAGTGTTGAGCAATGGTACAGGGGGGTGTGCTTTGCCCTCTGACCTTCAGGACCCCAGCCTGCCTCTCAAGGGAGCTCAAGGGAAGCTGGGCTGTGAGAGAGCAGAGGTAAGGTCTCTACTATGTCTGAAGAATATTCTGGGAGAAGAGCAGAGAGGAGCAGAGGCTCCTGGCCTTCATCCCATCAGAGCTAAGCTCATTAAAAAGGGTCACACCTGGTAAGTTTGGTGGCCCTCTTTATAGGTTCATTGTTCAACTCTATGAGAAGCTGGTGACAATGGAATTTTCCTCTGGGGTTATTTCCATATACAGCTCTCTCAATGGTGGAATCAATTTTATTTTATTTTTTTGTCAAGTAGATGAGTAAGTGCAGTGAGATACAACAGGTAGTTATAGTAACTCTGCTTTCCAAATAAAAAATATCAGGGTATGTAGTTTTGATGTGACATAACATAATATTCCTGTGCAGGAAAATCCCAGGACACCAGACTGTTATGGTTCATCTTTGGGGCCCAACACTTGCTCTTTCCGTCATGGCAGACTCTCTGGAGCCAGCCATGTGCAATCACACACAACCTGTTGCTTTCGAGGCTCTGGGCTAGGCATGTTTTGGTTTTCTACAAAGCTTTTAATTGCTCATCACCTCTCTCCACATTTAAAGAACTGGAATGAGTCATGGTTAGTTAGTCTGGCTCAGATGTAGTCTTCTTTGGGTGTGCCTGCTCCTGGGGCCAAGTTGTCTGCATCCTTTAAGGATGGCGTATTAGAATGCAATTCATTGCAAGTCAGGCAACTGAGTTTTGTCCTGCTTGGCTGCTAGGTTACTCTGTAGTTCCGGGTGGCCCCGCTCACTTCTCTGCGTTTTGGGATTGTCATAGCAGTGATGAGGGGACACATCTAGAATGCATTTGGCCGTGGACAACAGAACATAATAGAATAGTGATTCACTGTCCTCAGTTTACAAGAATTCTGAGGTGAGTGTCAGAGCTGTCATGGCAACTCAGGGATGCTGCTAAGAAAGAAGCATCTCCCTCTCACCCTGACCGAACTTGACTTCGTCCTCCTGCTAGTGGCGTCCTACTTCACAGAGGTCTAGAGCATGTATGTCTTTGGGAGAAGAAAGAAGTGAAGTGGCGGTTTGTGTCAAGAATGCAAAAGCAGGGGCTGGAAGATGGCTCAGTGATTAAGAGTACTGGCTGCTCTTCCAGAGGACCAGAATTCAATTTCTAGCACCTACAAGGCAGCTCACAACTATCTGTAACTCCAGTTCCAGGGTATCTAGCACCTTCACACAGATGTACATGTAGGCAAAACACCAATGCACAGAAAAATAAACTATTAAAAAAAAAAGGATACAGCCAGGTAGTGGTGGCGCATGCCTTTAATCCCAGTACTCGGGAGGCAGAGGCAAATGGATCTCTGTGAGTTCGAGGCCAACCTGGTCTACAGAGTGAGTTCCAGGACAGGCTCTAAAGCTACACAGAAAAACCCTGTCTTGAAAACCTGACCAACCAACCAAACACAAAGATACAAAAGTGAATATTTGGGCTAGACTCATTGCTTCCCAAACCAGACCTGGGGTTTTATGAATGAGTCTCATTTACAGTATAGCAAACTGTCTCCAGATATAGTGACCTGAGACAATAGTTTATTCCTCATCACATCTGTGAGAGTGGCCCAGGCTCTACTGTATCACCCGTGTGCTGAGGTCATTCATGCATGCAGCTGTGGGCTCAGTAGACTGCAGTGTCTGGGATGGTATTTCTCATTTACTGATGTGGCTTTTTTAGACAGGATTTCTTTCACTGTGAAGCCCCGGCTGTCCTGGAACTCACTCTGTAGACCAGGATGGCCTTGAACTCACAGAGATCCATCCATCTGCTTCTGCCTCCTGAGTGCTGGGATTAAAGGTGTTCTCCTGGCTAATTTCTTTAACTTAGTTTATTAATCAACTCACTTGTGTATTTCTGCATATTTGTGTGTATATGCATATGCATGTGTTGGTCAAAGTCGGCTTGGAGTGTCATTCCTCAGGCGCTGTCCACCATGTCAGGCTCTCACTTGTTGATTAGGCTGGGCTGACTGGCCTGTGAGCCCTAGGTGTCTGCCTGTCCCCACCATCCCACTGCTGGTGCCACCACACCCAGTCTTTTGCGTAGACATGGGGGATCAAATTCAGTAAAGCACCACAAACATTTGGCCAACTGAACCTTCTCTTTTGCCCCCTGGGAATGTGTGTCTCCTATGTTCCCTGTCTGTAGTGCATCTCATCACACCACAGTGTAGCTCAAGTTGCTCTTCAGCACCATGGCTGGCTTCTGAGAGGGGTATTCCAAGAGGACAGGCTCCTGTGTGCAATGATCTTCAGTCTCTGATTACACTGCTTGCTAATGCCCCTCTGGTAAAGTAAGCCATAGGGTGAAGCCCAAGTCAGTGTGGAAAGGGACTTCACCAGGGCACACATCCCAGGAGATATAGTTGACTGGGGTCAAACACTCTATGTCTGTCACAGTATGAAAGAAAGGAGAGTGAACACAAGGAATGTAATTTATGTGTTTGCTATGGCAGATTAGCGCTAAACAGTGTTTTTTCATACTGCAAACAGCAAAACCAGTGTAGTAGTTCATGGTCAGAAGAAATAGAATGAACATGGAATATTAGGGTGTATTGCATATTAAAAGTCTGTATTTACAATCCACTGAAAAATGTATTTTATGTTCCTGACTTGAACACATCTGAGTTTCAGTGTTTTGGTTCTATGGCAGACTTAAGTGGTGAATGCCCTACTGACCCTCTTCCATGTGAGGAGCTGTGTGTTGAGGACACAACTTGTCCCCCGGGACACAAATGCTGCAGCACTGGTTGTGGCCACGCCTGCCGAGGAGACATCCGGGGAGGTATGTCGGTTCTTTGCGAGGAGATCCACAAGTGCCGTTGAGTCCCAGGTCAGTCTGCATGAGTTTCCTGTGGACACCTTGGGGGAGCCAGCTGTCATCTTTACCATCCTTTGGCCTCCAACCCACTGTGACCCTTCCTTCTAGGGTTAAAGGTCAAAGTTGGTATGGAAAGAACTAGAGGGAGGCGTGGTAGTGAGGCTTCGGTCAGGGCTCTTCTGTGGCTGTACTTTGTGACTATGGCAAATGAGCCCCTCTTTCGGGGCCTGTTTCCTCTGTCCAGTAAAGAAGTTGCCCAATATCACTGGTTTTTCAGATCAATTTTTATTTGTTTTTGAGATAGCCCAGGCTGGTCTTAACCTCAGAGCCCTGGCTTAGTTCCACACATGCTGGCTTTATAGGCCTAAGACACTATTGTTGGTTTCAGACATCGTGCCCCCTCCTCCATGCTTCAATCCTTTTTTTTTTTTTTTTGAGACAGGGTCTCATGCAAACCAAACTGAGTGAACTTTCTACGTAGCTCCAGATGACCCTGAATTCTGATCTTCCTACTTCTATTACCTGTGTGCAGGGGTCCTGGGCGGGGAGCACTACACCCAGTTTATGCACTGCTGGGGAAGAACCCAGGGCTTCTTGGCTGTCAGGAAAATACTCCATGTGTTTGCTGAGCCATATTCCCAGCCCATTAGTCTGTTGTATTCCCATGCAATGTCCAGCCCTTTGTCTCTATAGCCTGTTAGGAAAGACAAATGAGGAGTTGCAGATGCTCCTTGAGTGTAACGGGTTCTGCCTGGTAAATCCACTGGAAATGGCAAGTCTTGTAAGTTGAAAGGTCACTGAATACTCTTGTCCTAGTCAGGGTCACTATTGCTGTGATGAAGCACCAAGGACAAAAACAAGTTGGGGAGGAGAGGGGTTCTTTGGCTGACACTTCCACATTGCGGTCCATCACGGAAGGAGATCAGGACAGGATTCCAAACACGGCAGGGACCTGGAGGCAGCAGCTGATGCAGAGACTATGGAGGGTGCTGTGACTGGCTTGTCCCCCATGGTTTGCTCAGCCTGCTTTCTTCTGTTGTTTTGTTTTGGTCTTCGAGGCAGAGTTTCTCTGTGTAGCCCTGGCTGTCCTGGAACTTGATTTGTAGACCAGGCTGGCCTCCAACTCACAGAGGTCTGACTGCCTCTGCCTCCCAAGAGCATTCACAAACATGCCCACCTCATCCTGCTTTCTTATAGAACCCAAGGACTGTCAGCCCAGGTGTGGTAGCACCCAGAATGGGCTGGGCCTTTTCACGTCAATCACTGATTAAGAAAATGTCCTACAGCTGGATCTTATGGTGGCATTTTCTCAATTAAGGTTCCCTTCTTTCAGATGACTAACTTGTATCAAGTTAACATAAAACTAGCTAGCACGATTCTCTACCTTGCAGCACATACAGCCCCCCCGTAGTGTCAATTGAGTACCATGGGAGTCCCATGGCTGACTGTGATGTGGCTGTGCTGCCCGACACTGAAAGCAAGTATTGTACTTTGTATTGCTGATCTGGGAAAATATAGAAGTTGGACATTAAAGGACTGTTCCTCCTGAGTCTGTACTGCTCTTGTACACACACACACACACACACGCACACACACACGCACGCACACACACACACACGCACACACACACACATGCACGCACGCACGCACGCACGCACGCACGCACGCACGCACGCACACAAGAATGAATGCACAGT